TTTTTTTTTTTTTTTTTTTTTTTTTTTTTTTTTTTTTTTTTTGGAGAACTTACCAGACTGGTGCTGGCATGACATGACCCAGGAAATAACCTCATCAGCGTCTACAATGTCAAGCTTTCCAAGAATGTCCAGTGCAGTCAGCCCCCAGTATGCACCATTCATTCTTAGATGTTCCATCACCACGGATTGAAAATCATCCTTTCTCTGGACACAAAACGATCAAAGATGTGGGCAACTAAAGTAACATTTGGGAGTGACTTTGAAATGGTTAAAATCATTTTTATCAGATTCAAAACAATTATACTCGTATGAAAATCAATTAAATGATTGAAGACATGTTTCATAGCGATTTTGAACACCACCACAGTGATTTTAGCCATTTCAAAATCACTCCCAAACATACCCTAAAATGCATGAGATCCACAAATGGAAAACGCACCTTTTCAACTGATAGTATGTATTTAACATGCTTCTCAGCGGCCAGTTCCCCCATCTGTCAAGTCCTGGCCTAATTAGCTATTATTTCATGGAAATCGATGGTAACAAAGTAAAACTCAACAAACATAACAAACACAGAAATTTTGTAAGGATCAATAAATGGTCAATATACAGAATCTCACGAACAACGAAAAAACAGCGATTGGGCAAGAACTAAGTGTATATTTCCTACTTAAACCATCAATTTACTCGGCTATGAAAGAACTAACCCGTATAAACTTTTGAACGATAACGACGAACAGTGAAATTATAATCTCAATAACAAAGTGATCAATCTCAAGCAATAATGAAATCAAGTGAAAGAACACGGTTGAAACCTGAACGGAAGAAAGAACGCGGGAGAGAAGGAGTGACAATAAACCCACACAAAGAAGAAATGGCGCAATCGCCAATGGCCAAGCACGACGGAGATTGAAGCGAGGGCGAAATCGTTGAGAGAGAAAACGGAGCTAGGTCTGTACGGAGAGATATAGAGAGAGAAAATTAGATCGATGACTGAAATTGACTCTTCAAAGTTTTTTTTTCACTAAAAAAATTCCACTTAATTACAAATGGAAATTTCTATATTTATTATTATTTAAACTAAAAAAAACATTTCAATTTTATTTTACTCCTCAAAATTTATTTATTTTATTTCATATTTATATCTTGACAATAATATAATTTAATTGATATAAAACATCCTTCAAAAAATTAAAAGCTTGAAAAAAATATAATTGATGTTTAAGTAAAATTATTACCAATATTTCAGTAAAAATAATACAAACTATTTAAAAAAATAAAAAAAATAGAAGTTATTACACAATACGTCGTTATTAGTTGATATATGAATATGAATGAAGATTGAATTTCGATCTCAATTAAATAATAATATTTTCAGATCTATTTTTCTCTCTTAGTTTTAAATTAAATTTTACTTGCATTTATTATTAAAATACTTAAGTTCATTCTATCTGAGTTGGATAATACGAGCTAAGCAAAATACGAGCTAAGCAAAGACAAAGGATGTTCTTATTGGAATACAGACCACCAAACACCACCTCCAACAAAAAGGGAGGGAAATGTTACACGACACAACACCAACAAACCATGCAGAAAAAACAAAAACCAGAACAGTAACAACATAATTACGAATCAGCCCCTGCGATAAGTGGTGGTGTCACTCCCCTCCTTGCCCACGTCATCATCGTGGGCCATACCAAAAGTGCTTTTCACAGCATCCGCCGCTCCTTGGGCCATACTCTTCACTTTCTCGCCCGTCTGCTCCAGTATCCCTCCGGTCGTCTCCTTCCCAGATTGGGCCTTCTCTCGGGCCGCTTGGGCCTTATCCGACATATAGCTTCCTGTCTGATCTTTGGACTCCTTGGCCCATTCTTTCGTGGACTCCGCTGCTCCATGGGCCTTGTCCCCCATTGTACCCATCGCCTGACTAGTCTTCTCCTAAAATAATAATAATTAATTAATTAATTTAGAAAATAATTCATTTTTAAATCAAGAAAATACCTCAGCTCGGCCCTTGGTTTCACCAGCTTTGTAGCTCTGATTGTGGGATGCCATTGTTTAGAAATAGATTTGTTTCTTTTGTGAGTAATGATGGGATGAATCAAATCCAGCTTATTTATAAGCTTCCCGGAGCTACCAAATGGATTGACACGAGTCCACGGAAGTGACACGTGTAGGGCTTACGTGCCCTCGCCTGGGATGCTGCTCCACTGTTCTCACAGACTTTGGCGGCACCAAATCGATGACTCAGCCTATGTGCTCTTGCCACGTGTTTGCTCCTGCTTCCGTCGGTGCTTGTTCAAATCTATATAAAAATACAGTAATGGTATGATATTGTCCACCTTAAGCATAAGCGCTCTCATGGTTTTGCTTCGGAAAAGGTTTACACCAATGGAGAGTGTATTCTTTGATTATAAAAACTGGTTCAAATCCGCTATTGAAAATACGTCTAATTTTGTCGGAAAGGAAATGGCCCGTATAACTCACTTAGTAGAGCAGAAGACTAAAATCTTATCAAATTGAAGAACAATCTTATCAAAGGATCGTTGGATAAATATTATTTTCTTCGAACAATTAAAAAAGAACTCAACCATTCAAATCAAACCATTTCGAGGTGGGCTGGGTTGTAAACTCTATTTAGTGGTTCGAGTCATCAACTCGATCAATTCTAAATAGATTTTTTCAACTCGACCCAACCTATGTACTCGACCAATTTTCATTGGACCCATGTCACGTACCATGAATTAATTCGTGTTTTAGGTCAGTATACTACCAACTTAAACATATATATATATATAAACGTTGAAATAGTCCATTCCAACCCCAAAAATCTGGAACAACAAACAGGCAAGTGCAAGGCCATGCACAAAAACAGGCCAAGTCCCAACCATTTGACAGCGCTATATAATCTCCGGCTTTGATCACCTTTCAATGCATCAATTCCCACGTCTATTTTCCCAAAAACACCAAGAAAAACATAAAAATTTAGAGAAATGGCAAGCCAACAGGATTTGAGCTTCAAGGCTGGGGAGACTGTTGGGCAAGCTCAGGTCAAGAAGGATGAGGTTATGAGCCAAGCAACATCCACCCAGGATGCCCAATCCGCCGCCCAAACTGCCACCGACCTGAAGGACCAAGCTGCCAGCTTCCTCCAACAGGCAAGTACTTGTCATTTTCTCTACTTTCACTGACAAGAATGGGTGTGTTTTTTTTAACACTTTGGTGTTGTTTTTGTGTGTTTGTGTAGACTGGAGAGCAAGTGAAGAGCATGGCTCAAGGAGCAGCTGAGGCAGTGAAGAACACACTTGGGATGAAGACTGACACTGATACCACCACCTCACCCAACAACAACCCTACCAACAATCCTTCCCCTACAAGTTAATTTCGTTCTTCAATAACTTCATTTTGTATAAATAATTTAAAGGGAGAGAGTGATGTATTGTCCCCTTCCTTTTCCTAATTAATTTCATTCTTTATTATTTTCGCGCGTTTGAGCTTTCGTACAATCTCGTAATTTAAAAGTGGGCATATGGGTCAATTTAGATAAGACTTTACCTAATAAATCTGTGAAAGAGGGTGATGGTTCGTATTATAAATCTTACTAGAACTCGGAAGCTTTTGATTTAGTAGCAGGGCAAACATTTCTTAATTGTTGCTACCGAAAATAAAGCAATAAATTGAATAACGTAGACTGCAACATAGGCTTGGTCTACTAGGGTGGGGCTCATCAATTTAATTAGGATTTGTCTTATGATGAAACAATTCATTGCATTGATTAAACCATTTTACTATGCTCATAGATAAATCCAATTTTCATTCCTGAACGAATTATTATTTATAATTTATAATCATTATATACATTAGGTCTATTTCAAAAATCTCGAAAATCTCTCTTTGCCCTGTTTTCTAAAACTTTTCCTTAAAACCGAGGCCAGAGGCTTGAGCATACGTCGCTTGGTCGTAGGCGACGCAAGAACGAATTGGCTTAGCTCCGAATTGGCTTAGCTCGCTCATTTGTTGTTGGAACGTGCGACGCAAGTGCGATCGCTTGGCCGTAGACGACGAATTGAAATAAAGAATGGCTTAGCCCATCTGTTGAATGTGACGAGTGAATTAAATATGATATTTTGAGATATATTTAGACAAGTGAATTAAATATGATATTTTGAGATATATTTAATAATTAGTTTATATGAGATATGTATATTTTAATAATTAGTTTATCTGAGATATTTTGAAAGATAAGTGAATTAAATATAATATTTGGAGATATATTTTAATAATTAATTTATTTGAGATATTTTGGAAGTTAGTGTATTTTTTTTAGATTTGATTAATAGTATATTTTATTTATTTACATGGAGTTATATTTATATTTTATTTATTTATAAGTTTATGAATATTGTTTTAGTAAGTTTAAAAAAAGTTTAAAAAAGTATTTTAGCATTAATAAAAGTTTTGAAAACTTTTTTTTTATTGGATATTTATTTATATTTCTAAGAAAGTAAAAATAAAAAATAATTTATGGCGTGTTTGGATTATTAGTTTAAATGTTTAATTTTTTTATTTAAACAAATTTTCATGTGCTCCTATAAAATTAAAGAGGAGAAAATGGTATCCTATTAGAGTAGTTAGGTTTACTGAATGAATTAATGAAAATGAAATAATAAAGCAAAAAATAATGCAATAATTATGGAATAAATGCAATGATTATTGTTTTTTAATTTGTTATTATTGGAGCTTGAATTGGACACATTGAATATTCAAACCCGACAAACCAAGGGCTTTGGATTAGATAGATGGACTAGGTGCCAAAGTGCCCCTGGGGCCATCTATTTTACCTGAGGTGTGCAATTTGCATACCCACCACCCGGCACTTTGGTGAGATCACCCGGGCACGAGTCCATAAGAACTAAATAATAGATATAAAAAATACGATATGAAACAGGTCAAAGTGGATAATTACGAATGGTATCAGAACACGGACAGTGTGTTAGGGGTCCACAAGGTGGAAACCTCTCTCTATATGTTGGGCATCTTTCGGATTAATAGTTGGAATTCTTCCTCAGGTGCAGTATCCTATCTTTGTTTAACCGAATAAAGTGAGGTATCCGAGAGAACTAGGTGTTGATTCTTTATTCGGTATCTGAGAGAAGAAATTCTCGGTAGGAAAGAACTAGGTGTTGATTCACCTGGGTTCGTCTGTGACGCTTCGGGGCGGTGCCCCAAATCCCTACAAGCAGAGGATGATCAAATCTGCTACACCGACCAGTAGCCCTTATACTGAATCGACTTTAGACTAGCTTTACATTATAAAATACCCCTCGGGGAGTTCGAGGGAAGAACCCAGAACCCGATCTACGGCCGAATAGTAACTCCTATGTAAGCACACATACTGAGAGCAGAACTCAAAGCGAGAATAGCGCCACTGACCTATATAGCCATTCTTGTAGATCCGGGTGTTGCGTGGTTGTTTTGCAAGATGTCGCTTTCAGTTCGTAGAGTGGATCAAAGATGTGTTCGGCTTGATTCGTTGGTTCACTTCGTCGTTTTATGATGTGAAACTCGATTCCATTTACACAAACAACTACGTTCTTGCTTTGTGATTCCCTTCGTTTGCCTATCTTTGAAGACCACGAATTAGGGAAAACCTCTCTTGAACTTGCCTTCTTTATCTTTTCAGTTGTTTTGCCGAATCGGTTGTTCAAGATTTTTGGTCTCTATTCGAATCCGATGAAAAAAATGGGTTGGACTTGTTGAGAATGATTCTGATTTAGTTCAAGGCCTATTAGAAGTAGAAGTCGCTCTGTTGGGGTTGGGATCCTCGCAGACAGAAAAAGATTGCAGTCGATTTGATAATGATGTTTTAAAATTGATGTTAAGGCCCACAAGGTGGAAACCATTAATAGACACGTTTTTTAAATTGTAAGACGGATGACGATATGTAATGGGTCAAAGTTAGCAATATCTGCTAGCGGTGAACTTAATGATATCAGAGGCAGTTACCAGACAAACGATTAGAGGCACTGATCAGAACAATATCTACTAGTAGTAGGCATGAACAGTTACAAAATATCACCGTCAGTTTCACGATGTTAAAACGTGTCTACTCGAGAGAGGTGGGATCCACATCTTTACGATTAATATTTGGGTGAAGTGTTATGAGGATTATGACATCATTGTAAGTGGCGGCGTGACAAGTATCCCAGTGGGTACCTATAATTTATTCCTCATTTAAAGCACAATTATAAAAGCAAACGATCCCCCAAAATTCAGCTTTGAATGAACGAGAAAGGGTTAGAGAAGAACAAAAGCTCGACACGTCTGGTTAGGCCCAACTGTTCACCTAAACAAAACGTTTACAATTTCGGGTTTCTTTTTTAACGGATTTTCGTCGAATTTCTCTTCCAAACCCCGTTTTGTTCACAACATCTTTTCTTATCTTGGGATCTTGAACACCACCAAAATTCTCGCCCCTTTTTCTAGCCGTCTCAGGAGGAATCAACACAGTTTTTTTCTTATTTATGATCTTTTTGTTCTTGCAGTGTTGGCCCATACTCTGAACTCCTCTGCCCATCGTTCTTGGAGCTTCTGTACTCTGTAATGGCGTCCTGTAAGTGTTTCTTTCTGCCATTCATGCTCCTTTTTAGTTTTGTTTTATTTACTAGTCTCGCGTATGGGTTATCTTGGTTGAGTTTTGTTTTGATTCTTTTCTTGGTAATGATGAAGCTATAATTCTTGAATTCTTTCAAAATCATGGCTATGATGATGGATTTTAATGAATGTATATGATTTCGAAGTTCTTTTCTGCATTCCGCACTTAACCCGAGGGTTTGAGTTTCAATGATATGAATGGGGGGTGAGAATGAGAATGAGAATGATCGGATCTTCTTGATATACAAATTTAAGTATAAAGATTGGGATGAGATTCTTAGGGATGAGATTCTTACTTCGTTTTCTTTTATTATGATCATAATCATAGTTTCTCTGCTGCTGTTGTTGCTTTCCTCCTCGTATTGCAGGCAGCTTGAGAACTGCAGACTTTAAAGTCTTCAGGTTGGATGTTTGTAGGGGAAGAGTCTCTACTTTACCATCTTGTAGCTTAAGAAATTGGAGCAGGACACCGCAGCGATATTCGAGTTTGATAATATCATGTTCGTCTCGAAGAGATTTGCGTGCTTGTTGTAATGCATCGCCTGAGACCCAGAGTATGTGTTTATGTTACTTGTAATCTTTTCATGAAGCCCAACATTATGTAATTGTTGTCAAAAGTCAGTTTTCTTTGTGAGATTACACATTGAGAGGGGAACGAAACATTATTTATAAGGGTGTGGAAACCTCTCCTTAGTAGATGCGTTTTAAAACCTTGAGGGGAAGCCCGAGAGAAAGTCCAAAGAGAACAAGATCTACTAGTGTTGGGCTTGGATTGTCACATTCTTTGTTTTTCGTCTTACAACGGGTTTTCTTTTGAATTGAAAGTACGTTAGGAATTTTACATGAACAAATTGGTAAGCTGGTGTGATTGGATTAGGATTGGGCAGAGCTTTTGAAAAGTGAACTAGGCTTCTTGAGTCTACTTTTTAAGGCCAATTACCATGAATGTTAAAGGTTTGGTTATTCATATACACCTTTGAGGCATATACATTTTTGCATTCTCAAAACTCCTGGAGGTTGTCAATCTCTGGAGCTTTCGTTCACGCCATTCGAAGTTACACGAAGTACTTGATGCTCACCATTTTGACAAAACTCTTGTGAGATCCCATATCGGTTGGAGAGGGGAACAAAACATTCCTTATAAGGGTGTAGAAACTTCTCCCTACACCCTAGCAGACGCGTTTTAAAGCCTTGAGGAAAAGCCCAAAGAGGACAATATATGTTAGCAGTGAGCTTGGGTAGTTATAAATGGTATCAGAGTCCGTCATTGGGAGGTGTGCCAACGAGAATGCTGGACTTCCAAGGGGGTAGATTGTAAGATCTCACGTCAGTTGGAGAGGGGAACGAAACATTCCTTATAAGGGTATGGAAACCTCTCTCTAGCATACACGTTTTAAAACCTTGAGGGAAAGCCCAGAAGGAAAAGCCCAAGGAGGACAATATCTGCTAGCGGCGGGTTTGGGTAGTTACAAATGGTATTAGAGATAGTCATTGGATGGTGTGCTAGCGAGGATGTTGGACCTCCAAGGGGGATGGATTATGAGATCCCACGTCAGTTGGAGAGGGAAAGGAAACATTCCTTATAAGGGTGTGGAAACCTCTCTCTAGCAGACGTGTTTTAAAACCAGGAAAAACCTAGAAGGAAGAATCCAAAGAAGACAATATTTGCTAGCGGTGGGTTTGAGCTATTACAACTATGTACATCATTATTACTATATTTTGTTTCCTAAACCCTGTTGGAATGTTAGACTCTCTGATTTGCATGTCTCATTGACGTTGTACAGCCATAACCGGATCAGAAACAGGTTCTGAAGAAACAAAACCTTCCAGTTCGGCCAGCCAACTTATCCCAAATTTGCAGGAGGTAAACTTGGCGTTCTTTTATGAGTTAAAAGTTTAGTCAATAAGTAGACTGGAGCTTTTTGCTTGTTCTCTACTGGTTGGGAAGAGGAAATATAAGGGTGATGGCGGCGTCAGAAAGTCGATTAGTGTGATGGAAAATCTTCGATATTAGACGGATCAGTGTATGGGTAGCTTTATACGTTTATCGAGCATTGGATTCTCGTGTATATTGTGGCTTGAAATTGGGAAAATAAACATTTTCAACAAGCTAAACTTTCTTCCATGCTTTGTTGGATTTGTATGATGATGTTTTCGTACTGAAATCGCTCGTTTATTCGAAGTGACCTTGTCGTTTGGGAATCTAAACATACTTTTCATTCGAGTATGCAGGTGGAAACCCTTCTCACAAACATATGTGACACATCTTCGATTGCAGAGTTCGAATTGAAAGTATGTAGCGTTGTGTTGCACTGTTTTTAACTATTTGAACTTCGATTGCTCTTTGTCTCAAATACTTTCCTTCTCCTTCTGCAATCAGCTCAAAGGATTCAAGTTGCAGATAGTGAGGGATTTAAAAAGCGAAAATGTACCTCTTCCTCCAGTTCCAGAACCAGCTCCATCTCCTGATATTCAAAGTACAAGTTCTATACAATCGGATTCAAACGGTATGGTTAAAACAACATCATTGGCTTTATTCAAACCAGAACCTGTTTCTTCTTCGTCTCCGGAGGGGATCTCCAGATTTGTAGAGAAAGCTAGAGATGAAGGCCTAGCAATACTTTCATCTCCTAAAGTAAGCATACAACGTTTTTTGTTTATTTTCTTCTTGCCTAAGTCATGGATGGTGAGGTGAGGTGAGATTTGAATGCAGGTTGGGTTTTTTAGGCGGTGTCGAACCATAAAAGGCAAGCTTGCTCCGCCGTCGTGCAAAGAGGTATGTTGAATCCACACGCCCCCACAAAGGAGAAAAGAAACCTGGGAGAGTTCATAGGTTATATTGCGTTCTTTTTAGTTGCTTCTGGTCTGCTGCATTTTGATCTTCCCATTTTCTTTTAGCATTAGACATGTTTATTGGCGTGATGAAATAAGATCCTACATCGATTGGAGAGGGAACGGAATGTTCCTTATAAGGGTGTGGAAATCTCTCTCTAGTAGACGTGTTTTAAAACTGCGTGGAAATATCTATGGATTGGACTATTACAAATGGTATCAGAGTTAGACACCGAGCGGTGTGCTAGCGAGGGCGTTAGGCTCTCAAGGGGGGTGGACTGTAAGATTCCACATCGGTTGGAGAGTGGAACGAAACATTCCTTATAAAGGTGTGGAAACCTCTCCCTAGTAGACGCGTTTTAAAAACTTTAAGGGGAAACTCGAAAGGGAAAGCTCAAAGGGGACAATATTTGCTAACGGTTGGCTTGGATTGTTACACCAAACTTCACTAACATTGATTCACTAAACAGAACCAGGTTGTAAAAGAGGGTCAAGTGCTTTGTTTCATTGATCAGTTAAGTGCCGAGATCCCTATCGAGGTTCGAGTCTTGTCTTTAAACTTCATTGGTCAGTACTGAGCTGATTATATTCACATAAAGCTCTCACTGTTCTTGCACATTGTTTCTTCGTTTCATTTTGCAGTCGGACATATCTGGAGAAGTCGTGAAGATACTGCGCAAGGATGGCGGTAAGTCGGTTTTCGATGTTTTTCTTCTTCTACCCTTTAATACGCTGTAGTTTCGTGAACAATGGCTTAGCAATTCACCATTTTCATGACAGAGCCTGTTGGATATGGTGATGCGCTTATTGCAATTCTGCCTTCATTTCCTGGGATAAAGAAGCTTCAGTAGATTGCTTCCAAATCAAATCATTACTCTTAGATTCTGTGCCTCTAGATTGCTTATACATTCCATTTCATCTCTCTCATTTCAATAAACAAATTTCTGCATTGAACTTTTAGGATTTAGCCGTTGAACTTGTAGGAATTTCTATTACGGGACTTTCAAGTTTTTTCTTTTACATGGAGTAAATGTTCGGGCTTTATCGTTCATCTAATAAGTTCTTAAAATTTTCATTTTGTATCACCTAATTTTTTGGTTTGTGTTTAATATGTCATTGATTTATAAATTTGCTGATCTAATGTAACAATCCAAGTCTACCGCTAGTAGATTTTGTCTGCTTTGACTCGTTACATATCACTGTCAATCTCGCGGTTTGAAAACGTATTTACTAGGGTAACTGTCTACACCCTTATAAGAAATGTTTCGTTTTTCTCTCTAACCAATATGAAATTTTACAATCCACCCTCTTGAAAGTCCAGTGTCCTTGTTGACACACTGCTCGGTTTTGATTACGATTCCATTTGTAATAGCCCAAATCGTGAAGATGACAACGATATGTAATAAGCCAAAACATACAATATTATCTAGGGCTTGGTTATTACAACTAATTCTAGGGCTTGGGTTGTTACAACTAATTAGTGTAGACAATCGCTCGCTTAATAGTCAAACTTTTAAAATTTGTAGCCAAAATTGTAATTTTTCATTATTTTATAAATTGGAGTAAATTTTTTTGGTAATAAACAAATATCATAAATATTTGAAATTAATTTTCAGAATATGGAAATGAAAAAATAATAATAAAACAGTTCAAAAATTCGACCGCGAAACAAGTCGGGAAAGGAAAAAAAAACCCCAAACCGAAGCAGCGAGGCGACCGTGATTTATGATCGGGACTCCACCGCTGAATCTCACGACGGAGTCCATTTCATCTTCTCCGCTGAGTTTTCCAATGGACGGCTAGGGTTTCGGTTTCGTATTTCTCCCACCTACATTGTAAATATTGTATTGTTATACCTGTCGATAAATTGGATATGTCGTTTGCCATTTCAAATTTCATCGGTTTCTTCCAAATTTGTGGACGTAGGTTTGCTCTTCTGGAAGTTCTTTCGACAATGTAGTTGATTACTGGACAATTTTTCATCAGGCATCTACCGAAATCTTTTTTGTTCTTTTGCGTTAAATTTGGTCTCCTCGACTACTTAACTGCATGTGACAATTCTCGATTCTCTTGCGTTGAAGATTTTGACGATGCACAGAGATTTCAGCGAATCTTGCAATTGTAACTTTTCGGAAAAGAAATATTGCTTGGAATCCTACTGATTTTCCGTTCGAAGAACTTGAAACTTGAAATTGGACGATTTGGCCCTTGAGATGAGTGCTACTTATCGTTTTAACTAAATTACTCCTCCGGTCCCAGAGGCTCGTGGCGATTCGTCGGCATTGCCTCCTTCACATTCGGATAGTGGACTCCAACAGCGTACGATGCCTTCAAAATCTCGGATTCCACCATCGAACAATCGGAACATTGGGTATGACCATGAGTTGGGGTGTATGTCTACACCTGCTTTGAATGATACTCATAGAAGGTTACCTTCCTTGCGAGGAATTGGATTTCATGAAGGTCAATTGTCAGGGCGTTCGAATGAAATGAAAGTATGCAGACAGTTCCAACGCCGGAGGAAATGTGCATATGGGGATCAGTGTCGTTACCTTCATGAAAATCCTGAGAAAACTAGAGCTTTTGGCTCCTCCACCCAGAATTATGAGGTTAGAATAGTAGATTCTGGTCATGTTATGGATCGAAGACGTGGGTTGGATCAATTGGAAGAAGTCAGATCAAAAGTACAGACAGAGATTGTTGTCCGCGGTGAGATTCCAAAGCCTGTAAGATGCAAAACAAGGCTCTGTTACCCCTTGCAGACGACTGGTAGCTGCTCATATGGGGCGGTTTGTCGCTTTGCCCATGAAGAAGCAGGTATTTTGAGATTCCTCTTTCCTTTCCATTACCATGCTATTGTTGAGGATTGTAGTAGATATTAACATGGTATCCGTAGAGGTATGTTCTTAATTTAGCCGTGTCAATAAAATTCTCAAATGTCGAACAAAGACGTTGTAAACCTCGAAGGTGTTGTAAAAAAGTGATGAAGTGTCAAACAAAAGGTGTACTTTGTTCGAGGGCTCTAGAGAAAGGAGTCGAGCCTCAATTAAGAGGAGGCTGTTCAATGGCTCCATAGATCTCAGGGAGACTCTATGGTGTACTTTGTTCGAAGGAAGAATTGTAGGATTGTTGGACGGCAGTCCCACACCGAATAATTAAGGGGACGATCATGGGTTTATAAGTAAGGAATAAATCTCCATTAGTACGAGGCCTTTTGGGAAAATTAAAAACTTTCCCAAAACAAAGTCATGAGAGCTCATACTCAAAGTGGACAAAATCGTACGCATGATTCTTAATAATTATATGATTTCAAGTGACTTGCAGCTCTCCGAGCAAGAATGAATGTCTCAGTGCATATAAAATCTATTTTCTTTTGCCATTTACTTTATTAAGAGAAATTTTATGATATAAATAACCTTGGGTTGATTCAAATGAATCCCCTCGTAATCTCATTTCTTGGAAGATTTTGTGGTTGTGGAGGGGTCAATTTTTAAGCGTTGATTAGATATTGTTCCTCAGAAGCACGAAAACACTAAACATGACTGTTTAACCATATGTATAAATTTCATCCATGTGGATTTACTACTTAATCACTGCTTGAATCGTTTTTAAATCAAAAGTTGGTGATTGTCAAATTACAGGCATTGATGTTGTCCTTGTGTTCTTTGTTTTTGGAGAAAATAGAACTACAAAAGCTCGAGCCCTTCATTGCATCACAACGTGGGAGCGTATCTGATGCCTCTGCAACAACTTCTGCCGCTACCCAAGCTGAAATTGGAACCGTCTGTAAGAACGAAGAGCCAAGAATGAAGCAATTCTTTAAATCAAAGAAGTCTAAGAGGTTGATTGCCATTTACGCGGACTGGCTCGAAGATTGAGTTACCCACAACAAAGATTTCACCAAATACCGAGGCTTTTAAATGAAGGTTCTTCCATAACTTCTTAATTTCTTATCCACATTGAATTTAGGATATCATTCTTAGCAAGAATATGATTTTTTTTTTACTTTTTGTCAGAGATGCATGTAGGAAGATCTGAATTCATGATAATAGTTCATTTTTAATTTTCTACTCACGTTAGCTACTTAAAAACACGTTTTTGCAATTCTACTAGATATATAGTATTACATTTAGAATAAATCCTAATTTATATCTTACATAACTTTTGAATTTGTTTAGAACGGTGCTGGTGAAAGTTTAAAGATTAAATAGACATGAATTGGGTAAGAAAAAGAAGAATTGTGAGTGTGCCATTCCCATGAAACCTTGGGGATTCATCTGCGTTTGAACTTCTTCTTCCATGAAGGGTTGCCTTGAGCTTTGACACAGCGAACTATCCTCCTCACATCCTTCCTAACAGACAGGAAAGCCAAAAGCACAGCAAGAAACATGGTGGGATAGACACGGCTATATTGCTTATTATGATCGTAATATGCAGATTTCCTCCAAACAATACCCCACATAGCAACAAGGCAACCAAACAGACTCATCCGCCCACTCCCAGGCCTAACCATCCCCATCATAGCTCCTCCCACCGCCAAATAACTCCCAGCAATAACCTGCTTCACCTCAACATCACCAAAAACTCTCGATCTTTAAAGAGAAGAAAACAAAGTAAACATTGTAATATACCTCCAGGCGGTGGAGATCCGACGTGAATGGAGAAGCTGGTGGTGTTTTCATGCGGATAAACTTGTATATCTTTGGCAAACTTCTGAATTCTGGAATGGGTTTGTTCTTAAATATGGCCTTTGCAATGGCTCCTGGATAGAGGAGTAGCTCCACGACAGGTGCAGGGAAGACCTGGCTTGATAGCAGCTGGGAACATGTCAATTCCAGTGGCGTCGTGCACGATGGCGACGATGACGATGACAATGATGATCCTCTGCATGGAACCCTGTCCTCCGACAACATTGCTGGTTAGATCCATGCATTGTTTGGACGGAAAAGAGATGGAAAGTTTACCTGAAAAGAGGAACTTGGGTGAAAATGAGAAGAAAATATAGAGAAGAGGCTGTCCGAGATATGGTGGTCGCCCATTTCTTGGAAGAAGCCATGCCAGCAATGAATGCGTCTCCGGTCTGTTGGTGACTATTGAAAAGACGCATTCGAGTTTCAACGATCGAACAAAGAACAAGGAATGGCAGTTTCATGCTTTAAATATGGACCTCACACTTGGTTTAATACCATCTCTCAGGACTCGAATTTCCTTTTTTTTTTTTTTTTTTGTTTTTTTGTTTTTTTTAACGTGAAATGTCATGTTCGGAATGCATTTCGGGCTAGCCCAATCGATCGATTTGGGCCTGGAAATCGATATTACACACGTGTCTAAAAGCCCCAAATAGACTTGAATTTTGAGAAAGGAAAGTGAAATGATAAAATGGACAATATCATACTATTTTTCGAGGCCTCTTGTTTTGAGATCTAACATGAAAATCTCATTATAGTAGACATGTTTAAAATTGTGAAGCTGATAATATCTACTAGCGGTAGAGCCCGTTGTCTCGGTCGAGTAGGGCTAGACCCTCTCCATAGTAGATGCATTTTAAAACCTTAGGAGAAGTCTGAAAGAGAAAGTTCAAAGAGAACAATAGCGGTTAGCAGTTAACTTAATATAAGTGGTATTAGAATGAACTCTATCGAACTAACAATATGCGATAGTGTTAGGCGGTTAGGATCGGGATAGTATAGATAATTTTAAGTACGGGGGACAATAGTCGATGTAAATTAAATGGGTCGGGACATATTTGAAATGGTCCAAGCGTGGAAAGTCACTTCAACCATTCAATCTTCATGGATTAATTTTATTCAAAGACTATATTTCTAATTTAGAAGAATGTTATTTTTGTGAAGTAATCCATCTAATTAAAATGTGTACTTAAAACAAATCCAAAACGGTCCAAAACACTACAAAAGTCACTTCCAACCGTTCAAACTTCAATATTATTTTTATTTAAATATTACAACATTATTATTTTTCTTTTTGTTTATAATAGCGTAAAACTTCTTCAATTATTTATTTTATTGAATTCTGATTTATTTTAATAATGAAATTGTGGAGGATGTATTATATATATATTAATCTAAATTAATAAAATTATCGTCTAACAAAATAATCTTAAACTTTAAAAAAAAAAGTTAAAAAAATATTTTTGCCTTTACACTAATACTCTGCTTTAAAAATACATTTGAATTTCAAAAGTTTTTCAAAAATACCTTTAAATTTTAAAAAATTTCATTAATACTTTTAAATTTTTAAAAAAATCAAAAATTATATTTTAAATTTTTTTAAAAACTCAAACAATAATCTTACCATTAGTACCACGTTACAGAAATATTAATGAAATATCATGAACATAATTTATGAGATGTCTATAGATGTATTTCGTCCATATATTAACGATAAATTTTTTTAAATTTTTTTTTAATGAAAGTTACGGTGTTAACGATACATTTAAAATTTCATCAGTATTTTTTAAACTTAATATTAACTGTAAAAATATTTTTGAACCTTTAAGGATATTTTTAAAAAATTATTAGCAGTTTTTGATCCAAAACTAACAGTAATATTATTTTCTAGATTTTTTTTTTGAAAATTTTGAAGTATTATTAAAACTTTTTTGAAAATTTAGAAATATTTTTTAAATAAAAATACATTTTTTTAAAAAAATATATATATATATTTTTTGTTATCCCCAAGCATCAATAATTGACTTATTAAAATCCTTTAAAATAAATTAGTTGACTAAGTTCCTTAGTTGACCGAAACTGATTAAATTCCCTTCATATACTCCTCTTTTCACCGGTCGTTTTAGACTAGAAGAAACAGAGGAGGGAGAAAGGGGCGGCCATGGCTGGTCTGCAGAGATCTGTCGTGTCATTCCGGCGGCAGGGATCTTCCGGTGTCGTTTGGGAAGACAAGTTCATCTCGGAGGAGCTCAACAAGGCGGCCCCAAGCGACGGTGAATCCAGCGCCACGCCCGAGGTGAAGACGGGAAGAAATATTCCGCCGATCAAGACGATTGACCGGACCCGATCAAACCGCGGGGGAGGACGGGGGTTCCGGAGCAAAGATATGGCGGCGCCGGCAGTGGAGCCCCCGTCACCAAGAGTCTCTGCTTGTGGCCTCTGCAGCGCTTTCGGGAAATCCGGCGCCAAGAAACAGAGAGCGGCGGCGGCGGCTGGCAAGCGCCGATCACGGTAGGATTTGGGAAATTAAAGAGAATTTATGTTTTAATTTTTATGAAAAATAGGATTTGATAGTGTAAATATGTTTGGTTTTTTTTTTTTAAATTTATTTATTTAAATTTTAAATTTGGAATGAGAAATGTTTGTTTGTTTTTTTTTAAAATGAGAGATTGGACTTTGTGATACTAACTTAATTGTTTAAATTATAATGATATATTAATATTGGTGGAAAATATTAGTATTTATTAATAATTAATTTAAATTAATTCACTTAATTTGTTAAATTGACTTGTTGTATAGTTTTTTTTTTATTTTATTTTTTTTAAATAATGACAATTAATTGCATCCAATTCTACATATTAATCTCATCAACTTATCTTATTGTTAAATATTTTATTTTTAAAAGTCTATTATCTTTAAACATTTAATGAAACTTTAATTTTACCAATTTTATAAATAGAAACCAAAACTATATAATTACATATAAAATACTAAAATAGTATTAGGAATTATTTAATTATTTTAAAATTATATTTTAAATTGAGAAATAAAATAACAAATTAAATAAAAAAAATATTAACAAGAGGGAAGAAATGGTATATATATATATATATATATATATATATATATATATATATGATTTAGAGTAGAGATGTCCTACGGGACGATGACGTCTTCATCCCTATATATATATATATATATAATTTAGAGTAGAGATGTCCTACCGAACGATGACGTCTTCATCCCACCACCTATTTCATTTCTCATTTTTGCAAAATTTGAGAACTGGGGTAATCGAGTTCTTGAAGAATTTCGTTTTTTATCTATAAAATTCTTCGTTTTTTTATTAATAAATTAATAGTTGAATCAACAATAGTGAATGTGACGATAACGTCCATATAAATTTTCTCTTGAACCATCATAAAATGTTACAAAATTAAGGCAAAAAAAAAAATACATTAGGGTTGACTTTCTGTTGACAATTAGGGATGACTTTCTATTGACAATTTTGTAATTTTAAAAAATTACATATGATAAAAATTTACACAAATATAACTCATTTGATTAAAATTTATAAATCAATATGGATTCAACTTTCGATGACTCTAATATTTGTCAACGTCACGTGACATTCGAGTATAAGAAATAAAGGAACTGATCCTACATTTCATATCATGCGAGAGTGGTTACGAAGAAATGAAATTATGATCAGTAAATATTTTAAAACACAAATGCACATTCAATTTTTATGACTCAATCATAGAAACTTTATGATAAATAAGTTTGACTTCGATCAATTTTAAGTAGTAACAGGATCATGCCGAGATCAAGTCCACTTTTAGTCTAACCGATGTCGGTGACTCGAATTCATTCCTTATCACGATGTTTACCTTAAACTAACTTGAAAGAGATTGCAAAAACAAGTCTAAGTAGCTATTTGTATGAAGTTCAATAATTCAACCCCATAATTAAAACAAGAGAATTAGTTTGTTTGGTTACAATTTCTAAGTTTGGAGGAGTATATAACAAATTGAATTAGCCGTGAAAACCTACCATTTCCGCGAAAGCTCTGTTTCCGAACATGGAAGCCCATCGATTTTGGCGCTCTCCGATACCCATCTTGGTATTCACTGTGTTGGCGAGGTTGAGCTTTGAATGTTCGGCTGAATTTGACTCGTTGCTGCAGCTCCCACTTTCTGGGGCGAACAGAAGTCGATCCAGATCCAAAAGGGTTTTCTA